AGCCAGCTTAGGGCAGGTGAGGTAAGTGTGGCTGCTGCCAGGGTGAGAGCTTTGGTACCAGCACACCCTGATATGGCTTCCTCTGTGAAAACCTGTAGTTGGTGAAAGTGTTAGTGGAACAGAAACAAGAATTTTGACTTCTTTTTTTTTTTTTAAGTTTGGCTACAGGTCATATGTATTTGTTGGAGATAGAGAGAGTAAAGTGGAAAAGCACTCTGCCAGGGGACAGCCATGCCACAATCCCTCCTCCATTTTCCTCTTGGACTTTTGGGCACATACACACACACACGTGCCCAGCTTGAGTTTCAAGCTGCCAGGTCCAAGACTCAAACCATGACCAAAATCCATCACTGGAATCATCCCTTTGGGAGTTACATTTTTATTTTGGTTACTCCTTATTGGTAGAGACTTGGAACTCACAGGAGGCCCCGCTCTATGCAGGGTCAGTGGGGCCTGGTGATTTGTGACTTGGTTTTCCGTTTCCAGTAACTTGCTGTGTCCCACAGGGTGACAGTGGAGGGCCTCTGGTCACTCTGAAGAACAACATCTGGTGGCTGGTTGGGGATACGAGCTGGGGATCTGGCTGTGCCAAGGCCAACAGACCAGGCGTGTACGGGAACATGACGGTGTTCACAGACTGGATCTATCAGCAGATGAAGGTAACTTTGTCCCACTCCTCCTCTGAGTTCTCTGAGTCCCTGATCCCAGGCAGGCATCACAGGCATGCTCTTGCTGTGGGAAATGGACTACTGGCCATGTCAGCAGGAGGCAAACCCTGCCCTCATGGCCGTGGGTTTACGCTTTACTCTTACTCACCTTCCCAGCCCTCTGGTCCCCACCTGTCACACCTACTGGCAGCAGCATGTTGCCCCCTGGTGCTTGGACACAAACTGGGGCTCAGCTTGCTCCTCCATGTGTTACTGTCTACACTTAGTTCTGGCTCACCTGACTCAGTGACTCCCCAGACTCATCGCACCCACCCTTGGGTGATGGGCAGAGCCAGGGGAAGAGTCGTGCTCTGCCTCTCCTTTCTGGTGGGCCCTGGGCAGTCCCCAAGGGTAGGAAGTGAAGGAACAGCTGGTGTTTTCTGCTACCCCAGACTTGGCACCAGGACAAGTTGTGCAGTGAGGAAAGACCCGTGGGTCCCCTGTGACATTACCCTTACAGATTCCTGGCCTGAACTGCCCCATTAGCATGTCGCTGGTGTAGGGTCCTGCCTAGATATGGGGTGAGGACAGATGTCACCAGCTCAGGGTCTTGAAACCAGCAGGTTTGTCTGACTGTCTTTCTTTCTTTCTTTCTTTCTCCTGCCTAGATATGGGGTGAGGACAGATGTCACCAGCTCAGAGTCTTGAAACCAGCAGGTTTGTCTTTCTTTCTTTCTTTCTTTCTTTCTTTCTTTCTTTCTTTCTTTCTTTCTTTCTTTCTTTCTTTCTTTCTTTCTTTCATATATATTTCTGCCTCTGCTGGGGCTAGGCTGATGAAAAAAGTATTCAATTTCATCTCCTCTTGCATCTCCCAAGGTGCCTAATCTGTAAGAAAGGGCAGGACTGAGGGCATTGCTCCATGAGACTTGACTTGTGTCTCCATCAAATGACACACAGGTCCAGGGCCTGCAAGTGACCATGGAGCTGGCTGGGTAGCCTGGCAGAGGGCTGAGTGTTGGACATAAGAGCCCAACTGTCCTGTTGGGGTGGCATGGCCAGAAGAAGAGCCAAGAAGGGAAGGCCAGCCAGGTCCAGGGGCAGACAGCTGTCCATATAGAGAAGGCACAGGGAAGATTGCTCAGGGACACAGGTGATTCCAGGTGGCTGGCATGCTGAAGGAAGGACTGAGCAGAGGAGAGGCAGCAGGGCGAAGCAAGGGCACTACTCAGTAGACACTCGGGCATGTCAGGGCCAAGGTCAAGGTCTAGTCCTCAGGCGGCTTGCATCCTAGTTGTGCTCAGTGACTTGTTTTTAATGTCTTTATTGAGACATAATTCATCTGTCATACATTCCCACATTTGAAATGTACAAGCTAAAGATTTTCAATATGTTCACAGATGTGCAGGCATCATCACAATCAGTTTTAGAGCGTTTTCCTCATCCAGTAAGGAGACCTCATGTCCACTAGCAGTCCCTCCCCATTTCTCTACTCCTCCTGTCCTCTCTGCCCAACCCTGGCCCCAGTAATCACTTGTCTTGTTTCTGTGTCTCTCTGTTTTCTATTCTGGATAGTTTTTGGTTTTTGTTTTACTGTACATCCTACAGTAAGATTCTCCATACCCCATTCCCCTGGCACCTCCAGAACTTTGCACGTGGTTTTCTCCACCTGGAGTGCCTGCCTGCCATGGTTAGCCTGGCCCTCAGACCCACACACTATAGAAAAATGATTGCTTTGTGCCCTGAAGCTTGCCCATTTGATTTCTAAGTGCCCCATGTCAATCTAGGGGAAGAAATAATGTCCTGCCTTTATCTTAAGAAAGTAACATCGATTCTTTTTCCTTTCCAAACAGGCAAATAGCTAATCCCTATGGCCTTTGGCCTGGAGATCGTTCTACAAGAAGATGAAGGGGCTGAGTCTTTATTCCCTGTGCATGATATACTTTTAGAGATGATTCAAAGGTCTTTCCATTTGTATTACATAGTGAGCTTGGTTGATTTTGGCACTCTGCTGCTCTGCACTGGCTGCAATGGCTCCCGCACCCAGGCCCAATGTCCCTGACCCCTCTGGCAAAGGGGCGATGGGCCCTGCTGGGTGTGGGCACCTCAGGCAAATGCAGAGGGAAGGGGTGGAGGCTGCTCTTTGAGATCTTCTGTCCGAGCCCGTACTAGAGCCCCTTTTGGATGAGTGTGGCACCTAGGACCTCTCAGCTGCTGGATGGCTTGAGATGGAAAGAGAGAAAATGGGGTAGGACCTGCAGGGGTGACCTCTGGGGCCACCGCCGGGGTAGGCCACCTGCATGGCTCATGGCCTCGCTCTCCACAGGATTCTTTTTTTTTTTCCTGGCTAATCATTGTTTCGTGCCATCTCAGCAGCCCTTATCAGTGGCTGGAAATAAAGGGACTGGCTCTTCATTGTGGTGACGAGATGGTCACTTGTAAGAGTACCAGAATTTTATTTTTCTTGTGAGGCAGAGTGCAGACAGAGCTCTCTGAGCGAGGGAAGTGATGACAAAGGTGTTCAAACTGACCTCTGCTGGTGCAGGTCTCCACATGCACAGTGGGTGGGGCTTGACGGCAGGGACCTAGATTTCTTCCTGCCTCCTCCTCCGGCCCTCCACCAGCCTTCCTGGAGACGCTTCTCAGGCCTATGATTACATGGAAACTGAGGTCCACTGGGGAAATCAGGGATGCACAATTGAAGATACTCTGTTTCCATGTTGCATTTCTACATCTTACTACCTCACACTCCTGAATTCTTGGCTTTGGATGTCCCTAGGAATTGGCTCTTTGAAACCATTACTGTTCTTGCAGCGTATGAGCAGTGGCTTCTTCCAGCTACTTTTACAAAGTGACTGGCTTTTAATGGGAAGTTCTGTGAATGAATGAGCTGAAGAAAACCACCATACTGAGACAAAGAGAGAGGCATGTTCTGGACTTCCTGAGACCCCCTTCCCCACTGTGAGTCTGCTCAGAGAAGAGCTAGACGATGCTTTGACTTTCTTCCTTTTTAAATTTTTGTTTGTTTTTTAACATTTTGCTATAGAGCATATGCGCTCACTGGAGATAGACTCAAAGAAAGAGAGAGAAAGTGAGAAAGTACCTCCTCTGTGGGAGGGTTACCATGCTGCAATTCCTTTTCCTCCATTCTCCTCTCAGGTTTTTGGGCACATGCACAGGCACCCAGTGTGTTTTTCAAGCTGCTAGGTCTGGGAATCAAACCGCCAAGTCGGCCATGTGGGATCCAGCTGCCTTAACCACCATTCCATTGGCTGGCCCTGGCGTCGACATTTTAACCTGAGCATCTTCTCTCGTGATTCTGCCTTCTTTCTAGCATGAGCTGAACGATTCTACTGCCAGGATGTCACCTTGAAAGGGAAGGTGAAACAGTCCCCTCCCAGATGCTTCCATTTTGTTGGCTCTGTGGGGAGCAGCCTTCCCAGGGACCTTCTGAATGCACAGAGGTGCCTGCTCCCCAAGTTAAGAAGCGCAGTAATGGGGAAAATGTGTCCCTTCAAGTGCTCCTTTTATTTATGTGACTAACAGTTTGTCTTCTATTTTGTATCTTTTTTAAACTGTAAAATTGTGATATATTGTACAAATAAATTATGTAATTTTCTTTCCAAATACTTACTGAGTATGTAGAGTTCTGCCTGATGAGCAGCATCAGGCATCCTTGTCGGAGGTGGTGTTGCGGCCAGGGCGAGGAGGACACTGGGCGGAGGATGGGGCAGGGCAGGCTGGACAGTCCTCTGTTTGGGCATAGGTGCCCAATGTGCTGAAGAGCTGCCGGTCAGGAGAAGGGGATCACAGTGTATGAGGCCCTACAGGGTGCTTCTTCCCCTACCCCCATAACTAAATTTGAAGTTGACAATGAAAAACTTCACTAATGTAACCGCTAACTCATTTAAATGAATTAGCCACATACACATTGGTGTTTAAGCCAGCCACAGTGCAGAGAGCTTGGTAGAGCCATCCTCTTTGCTGTGTTTTCTAAAGAGATTTTTGTTATAGGGCACACATTCTCACTGGAGAGATAGAGACAGACAGAGAGCAGGAAATCACCACCCGGGGGGATGGTCACACCAAAAACCCTTCTCTTCCACTCTCCTCTTGGGATTTTGGGCACACATGCACATGTACCCGGTGTCAGTTTTAAGCTGCCCAGTCCAAGACTTAAACCGCGGTCAACTATGTGGAAATCCAGCGACGTAACCATTATACCACCTGCTGGCCCCCCTCTTTGCTGATGAGAGACTGCTCTATCAGCTAACTGAAAACCCACTGAATTCTTCAGACAGTTCATCTTTCTGCTGCAGGAGATAAATAAAAGTGGATCCTGGCAAATCGAAAGCCAGGTCTGTTCTGATGATTGCTTTATTGCTGCCTGGTGGAAGACTAGCCACTCAGATTTGATTCTCTTTCTGAGACAAAAATTGCCCTTTGAAGCCTTCTTCTGACTGGCTGGCTGCCTTTGTCTGCTTTCTGCTCGAGGAGGACAATAAATAAAGGCAGGGCTTGGGACCAGCAGGTGACGTGGTGGTTAAGGCGCTGGACATTCCCACATGGCTGACCATGGTTCATAGTCCCCAGACCTGGCGGCTTGCCTTCTCACTTTCCCTCTATCTCTCTCTCTAGTCAAATTAAAAATAAATGAATGAATAAATACAATTAATAAATACTTTTTTTTTTTTAAACAAAGGCAGTGCTCTCTGTCATCTCAGAAGACAGTAGCGAATCTAGAAAGTCGTATGAACAAGGTTGATTTCCAGCATCTCCTGGACTCCACTCCCTCCCTCAGCATTTGTCAGGTGCCTGCAGTATGCTAGACCCTGGGGTCTAGACATCTGGGGCTTTACATTTTGATCTGTTCTAATTCACACTGGGCACTCTCCTACCTTCGATCCAAACTGAGCCCCATTCTATGGGATCTGCCGAGCCCCAGATCCAGCTGAAGTGAGGTTCTATGAGTAGATATCATTGATAACCTGGCCCATTCTGCAAAGGCAGATGGGCCTTCCAGCCAGGGCCATAGAAAATTTTTTTTTTTTTTAAACAAAGGCAGTGCTCTCTGTCATCTCAGAAGACAGTAGCGAATCTAGAAAGTCGTATGAACAAGGTTGATTTCCAGCATCTCCTGGACTCCACTCCCTCCCTCAGCATTTGTCAGGTGCCTGCAGTATGCTAGACCCTGGGGTCTAGACATCTGGGGCTTTACATTTTGATCTGTTCTAATTCACACTGGGCACTCTCCTACCTTCGATCCAAACTGAGCCCCATTCTATGGGATCTGCCGAGCCCCAGATCCAGCTGAAGTGAGGTTCTATGAGTAGATATCATTGATAACCTGGCCCATTCTGCAAAGGCAGATGGGCCTTCCAGCCAGGGCCATAGAGCAGGCAGCAGAAGCTGGAGATGCCAGTTTTGGTCTTGGTGTCCCTTGTGTCGGGGCAGAGGGCAGAGGGAGAGGAGCTGTGTAGATCTGCCTGAGCCTGGGGTCCCTGGAGTAAGAGAGTCACATGGAGGGTCTTCAGGGACATCTCTCTCTGAGTTCTGAACAGTTGAAGGGATGGGCCTCAGGGATGCCTAGCTCTGACTCTTTGGCCAGAAGGACCATTCTTGGGAGCCGTGTGGTGTGTTCCCAGCAAGTTTACTCTCTCAGGTAAATGCCCCTTCTCAGAGCACATACCATCAACTCTCCTCTTCCGTCCTCTCTAGGTATTGCTGGGAAAATTGTAACAATGGCTAAGCAGTCCTAGGTATTCTGATAGTTGATTGTTTCAGGCCCAGCAGAATCAAATGGCCTTTAGTAGCAGGAAGGAACACCTTGCCATGGAGAAGTTACTCTGGCCAGCCACGAGAGGGCACCCGCCACATGGAAGGAAGGGCCTGCTTTCTGGACAGTTCACCTGCACCAGTGAGAGCCCTGGGTGGTACCTACAAAAGGGCCTGGGCTTCCTGAATTAGAACTACTTGGCCACCTGTTTCTCTTCCTATGAAGCCCATGCATATTGGGACGGCCTTTCCTTCAAACACAAGTCAAACCAGTCAGCCCCTGCTAGCTCTCAGTGATGCAGAGTGCTCGGCTGGCACTGGGGAGGCACTAAGGCCCGACTCAAGTGCGATACCCGGACCCCCTGGCATTCTCCCTTACAACTAGATCCCAGAGGATTAAGGATCTTAGAGTCCCAAGAGTTGGAAGAGATCCGGAAGTGGGATCTGGACAGGAGAGGGCAGTGATCTGAAGCTGTGCACCGCCTGGGAGCTCACAACTCCCAAGGGGGCCATATCCTGGCATCAGTCTCGTTCTCATGCTGATGGGCTAGACAGCATTTCTCTGGGAACCATTTGCTCATGAGTCCTGTTCTTGTCTAGGCTTAGGCATCTGTGGTCCTTCAGCTTTGCCTGTAAAGGGCTTGGTGTCAGGTCCCTCATGCTCCATCCATCCACAGCCTGCATCCTAGTTCTGGGGTCTGCCCAGGGAGGATCCAGGTGAAGGGTGTAGCCATGAGTGTGTGAGTCTTCAGCCCACTAGACCGAGAACAGTCACGACTTCAGTTCTCCTCCAGGGTGATTCTCCTTTCCAGCCAGAGCATCTATGCACATCTCTACACAGCCACCCCTTGCCATGGCTCGCATGTATTCTCCTCCGTGCCAGACGTCCAGGACAAACAACTGGACCTGTGGTCAGTGCACATTGTGACCCATTAATGCCGCTGTTGGCATCATAGTCTATTTCTCTTTTTGATTTTTTTAAAAAGATTTTATCCATAAGGCACATACACTCACTAGAGAGACAGAGAGAAAGAGAGTAGGAGGGAATGTGAAAAATCATTCCCCAAAGGGGATGGCCATTCCACAGTCCCTTTTCCACTCTCCTCCCAAAATACCTCCTGGGATTTTGGGCATGTATGCATGTAATTTTCAAGCCACAGGTTTAGGACTTGAACTGTAGTTGGCCATGGGAGTCCAGTGCCTAAAACACCACACCACCTGTTGGCCCCATCTGTTTCATTTCTTAAATTTGTCCCCACATTTCCCTTTCATCTCTAGGAAATAATCCAATCCTCTCCTGTGCCCTGGATCTGTCCCCCTGGGTTCCTACTTGCTGCCATTTCCAGGCTTCTCCCCACAATACAAAACACATCAGAGAAAGGTCTGCCAGGACCAAATTTATTACTAATGGAGAGGGTGGGGCCCCCACAAACATCCACATGTGGTACGAGCCCCTGAAGTGCTGGGTTGGTGAAAGGACATTACAAAAACCATAGTCACCCTCCTCTGTGGCTTAGCCTGCATGAGTTTCTGACAGAGTGACAGGGAAAGTCCAGAGAGCAGAAACCTTTCTGAGGGTTGGAAACTATTTCCCAGGTGTCATCCATCCAACCTGGAGCATATGCTCCGAACGGCTTTGGTCTCAGTGCTGGAAATCAAGCACTACTCGCAGCCTTCTGGTAAGTCCTCATCGACTAATGTATAAGTAGAGGCCACAGTTAGGAAGCCTGACCACTAAGCACTCACATGTCTGCTAAGTGGATATACAGTGATGGCATAGCTCTTAGGGGAAGGCAGGAGGCCCAAGAAATGTGGGGCTGGAAAGACAGCTGATTAACCAGGGAATTTGGCAAGCCGGCGCCGAGCCTGGGCTAGCCGTGACAGCCGCTCCTTCAGAAACTTCCTCTTGTCGCTAGTGTCACTCCGCTCCTTCAGGAGCCAGTTGTAGGCATCCTTGTCCTGCAGGAGCTGCAGCATGCCCTTCTGCAACTGCTGCCCGAACGTCTGGAGGATGAAGAACTGGATGATCAGAGGGATGTGGCTAGAGATGCGGTTGCTGGCCTCCTGGAAGGAAGGGACATTTAGAGAGGTTGAGGAGAAACTGCAAGGAAACCTCTTGCCTCACTCTGTGAGCATCGAGGAACTCAGGTTTCCCAAGGGGGAGACCCTGCAGCCTCCTCTGCGCTACGTGCAATGTCCAGTGTACCCTGGGGCGGAAGCAGAAAGAAACCATGCATAGTGCAGAGGACAGTCCAGTCTCAAGTCACAGTGCAGAGTGGACTCTGAATTCCCACAGTTTTTCCTGACCATGAAATGGATACTTCTGGTGGAAGAGGGTAAAATATGTTCTAAAAGGTAAATGAACAGACTGAATAGAAAAACATCATTTCCAAATTATTTACAACTCTGCTAAAAAGATTTTAATGGTTTCTTTTCTATCAACACTTAAATTATTTAGCAGAAAATTGGCCTAGCTATCACAAGCCAGGGAAAGCAGCCCTCTGGGGTACACACAGGTGGGTTAGTTTTTACCGTTTCCTTTCTCCCTCTCCAAGCCTCAGCTGTGAGTGAAAATGTC